ACATTTTAAGAGGGGCACATGTATCCATACTTGTTGATTAGCTCTTACTTCCCAAGATTCAGAAATTTGCACTAGGCTTCCTGGCCACACATGGGATTAGCAAAGTTCAGTGGTACTGTCCCAAGCCCCCTGTCCCTGGCAGATAATTGAGAAGGATCTGGCTCTAATGGGTTCCTGTGTCACTGGCTCAATGTGGCTAGCTAGTGTTAGCGTGAGTATGCTTTTATTTCTCTTTCTGTCTTTTGTTTCTCTTCCTGACAGAAGTCATTTCAACTGAGTATGAACAATAACAGCAGCTCTACCTACCTTCAGGGGAAAGGCAACTTTCAACTAATTAAATATACCTCAAATAAAAATACATACTGTTGGATCAAACCCAAGCAACTTCAGGAGTCTTCATTACATGCTGCAGGTAACAAGCCTTAGGAAAAAAGGGGGTTTTGGATTCAACAGTGTATGAAAAGACATGAAATAGAAGAACAAGAAACCTGACCTCAGAGATTATAAACCATGTATCATGGTCAAAAAGTGTTCAAAATTTACCTTATAGTATTTTATAAAGGTCCTGTATGAGGAACATGATTTTATATCATTATTTCAGTCATGTGGGGGAAAAGGGAAGAGACTTGTCTAGAACCAGAGTCCTATCACTGCCCTAAGACGGTTCTAAGGCTTAAAAATTCTGGACTTTCAGAATGTACCAATATATTTTCTGGCTAGGACTTCTTATTGTAAATAGTATAGGCAAAATTTGTCTTTCATCAAAATCAAAGTCTAAATTCCTGGACCCAACAGTATTTTGAAGAACATCTTTCAGGAGACTGACATTTTATACTGTTTATCTTGTACGCTGCACAGACAGACTGCTGCGAGAAAACAATTGATTAACTTTCCAAAAGTGCAATGACAGTTGACAGATCCCTATGGATCATAGAAGGGTTTTTTTAATCTGTTAATAATCTTCAGGTGGGGAAACTTTCCGTGCCACCTGTCCTTGGCATGGCACCTGTCCCCTTCTCAAAAGGAAACCTGGTGCCTATCCAGCACGATTGGGAGCAGACACTTTTCTTCCTGACTGTGCTCCTCTTCTTGGTTCTCATACATCTTCAGATCAGTGGATGGTGGTTTTTTTCCCTTTCCTCAGGTGTTCACACTGCTGAGAAGGAAACGTTTTGTCACGAGAGCTTCCAGGCTCCAGGAATGGGCCTATGGGCCTGGAAAGGCCGCAACCACCAGCAAATAGAGCGGCAATGCGTTTTACTTCTCCTGGTGTGTCCCTGCTGCCTGCTCTCCTGTGCCCACAGCCCTGCCTAGGGCTGGCTGTCCCCCACCAGCCACCTGCCTGGGACTCGATGCCCCTGGCTGCCTCACCACAGGCAGGGACTCTGCACTGCCTGCTGTGATTACAGCAACTCTAGACCTACAGGAGCCATACGCATCTGTCTCAGCCACTGTTGCCATGGCACTAAGGAGAACCACAGAGGCTCCGACCTCTTCCCCACAACCTAAATAAATATACTCCAGTGTTATCCCATATTGAGCTCCTGGCATCCTCAGCCCCGCTGGCTCAGGAGTGACCCAGCCACGCCACTACTTCTTAATGGACATTTGTTTCTTCTCCACTGAAAGGGGAGGGACAAAGGCCAGCTATTAACAACATTTAATCTTCGACATTTACAAAAAGTCAACTTTGTCAATGATATTATTTTGTGGAACTGAAAAAATCCATTTGTTTTCCTTTTATGGATCCAGTCATAATAGCTTTATCATTCATCACACACAAAAAACCAGCTGTCTGAGAGTTTTTTTCCAACCATTTTTTTAGAGAGGGATCACTGTACCATTGCAATCCTTCATTCTTCTAACTCCAGGGGAGAGATGGCTCTGCAACTGGCATTTCCTGATTGCATTTAGTTGCTATTGAAACAAAACTTCTACCTTTGTCATTATTTAGATTTTTAGTTATAGAAGGAATTGACCCATAGTAGTTTAGTTGACTTAAGGACTTCATTAAATGTGCTATTTGAAAATCCATTTTAATGTGATTTTTTGTCCTAGGAACTGTAAATATCTATATCGGTACCTATGTCATTGTATATTGTGGTGAGATACATCTTCCCGAGACGTATTGACATGCATAATGGAGACAAAATCACACTGCTCGTCACTGTTGTCCATGAGGCCTGTAGGAGCATCTACGGCATCTCAAACTAGATGAGGCCTACTCAACAAGCAAGGGGTGGGGGAATCTCTGTGTCTTGAATTTTTTTTTTTTTTTTTTAATTTTCCAGACTGAGAAAACCTTAAATAGATGGTTTGGCTGTTTTCTCTCCTACTCATAGGAGTTACTCTTTTGGGATGATTTTTTGTCCTAGGAACTGTAAATATCTATATCGGTACCTATGTCATTGTATATTGTGGTGAGATACATCTTCCCGAGACGTATTGACATGCATAATGGAGACAAAATCACACTGCTCGTCACTGTTGTCCATGAGGCCTGTAGGAGCATCTACGGCATCTCAAACTAGATGAGGCCTACTCAACAAGCAAGGGGTGGGGGAATCTCTGTGTCTTGAATTTTTTTTTTTTTTTTTTAATGTTCCAGACTGAGAAAACATTAAATAGATGGTTTGGCTGTTTTCTCTCCTACTCATAGGAGTTACTCTTTTGGGAATTGCCTTCTGTCTGATTTCAGTTGCTACTGCTTCTGTCTGCTGCTTATGTATTCCTTGCTGATACTGGGACCAACTTATACTGGCTGCTGAAGGAAGGTAGAAGGTGGAAAAGTTATTTTATTATGATTTAACATCTCAGAGCAAAGACAGTGACATTTTGGAGATGCCAAATGATAATGATGATTAGTGCTTGATAAATAAAAGGAAAATACATAGTCTCCCACCATTGATCATTTTGAAAAAGAGAAGACAACAGATTTAGGTGGCACAGGACTAAAGAAGCTCAGTAGCTGTCTTGATTTACTTCTCTCTTGCCACATTACAATTTGTTATGCTTTGATCAGTGTAAAGACTAGAGAGCACAGCTATTGGCTCCAGCCAGGATAATGCATAGGCCTCATACAGCCTCATCAGTCTACGGACTGATCTTCGTGTTCCACAGAAACCAGAGGAAGGCCTTATTCAAGTCCTAGCGTGATTTTGTGTGTCATATATGGTGAAAGTGAGTACAATTTGATCTGAAAAGAGTAATTAGTGAATAAATAATGATTTTTATATTTAAATAAAAATCCTAACCACTAAAACCAGCTGAAATTCTGAAAGTATATGAAGGAAGGAATAGAAAATAATTAGCAAGTAGGAAGGAAGGTAACAGTAACTGAAAAAGAAAAGCTGGAAGGAATATTTCAAGGTGAAACAATGCAACTGTTTTCTTATGCTCCTATACTATTCGGTTACATCACATGGTATGAATAAGGTTAAATGATACATTTCAGTGACATGAAAAGATGTAGGCATAAATTGAGCATAAACTGCTGCTGTAACTTCTGTAGAGCTAGTTAATTTTTTCCAAAGTTTATCTACCAAGATTAGACTTAGATATTTTCAAACTAAACTATTTACATTTTTCTAAAAGCTATTTTAAAATCTATTGTTCCAATATTCTTTATCCTGTACCATTTGTACTCTAGAAAATGACATACTTTAGGTTTTTAGGAGATAATAATCTGCAAAATGCAGTAGTCAGTGTCCAGGAAGAAACTATTAAAGAATATCACCAGCAAAACCAAAGAACAATGGGTTACTGGGAACTAGACTTCAGGGAAATGCCTTAATAACAGAAGCAGAGATATTACCAACTAGTATGTAATAAACTCCTTAGCAGATGATGGCTTGGGGAGAAAAGGTCTCGGAATTGTAACATTGTGATAAAAATAATTTGACAATTCCTCAAAATAAAAGAACTGCTTTCACTTTTAAAGACTAACTGGAAGGGAAGTACCTCAGGGCAAAAAATGCACAATGACCCTTCCCATCCACCCATTTATAAAAATAATGACTTTATTTCTCAGCCTGGAAAGGCTATGTAAAAAAGCCTATTGGATTAGAAGTCTTAGTGGAGAAAAGGAAATAATAATCACCAGCTAGACCTGGGGAGAGGTTTTGCAGCTTAAAACTCAGGGCAGAGGCTTTGTACATTTACTGAATCCTGAAAGTGGAGGTGGGTTATTAAGTCAGAGTAGTCCAGGGGGAAAAAAGAACACATATATATATATATATATATATAAAATATATATATACACATCTTTTGCATTTGTGCTATGAAATGTAGTATGACTTCCTTAGGGAAGATGCATATGATTTGAAATTGGAAGAAAAAACACTGCTCTGGTTAAAAAGACGAAAAGGAGGGTAGGGAGATGTGGAAAGCATGTGTGCGTGTGTGTGTGAGTGTGTGTGTGTTCCTGTGGATGTGCACACCTCTGTGTACACGCACACAAGCACATGTTTATTTGAAAGCTATTGCAACTCTCCAAAGCAAGTGGGTCACCTATAATGAAGTGCAGTAAGCTTTTGCTTTTTGGTAAAGGAAATAAAAAAATCCTGCTGTCTTTCCATTTTCTTTTTCTTTCCACTCTCACTTACTTAGGTAATGGAGGCTTACTCTGATCAGAAGCATGTTGTAGGTTCACGGGAGTCATCACTGTAAGAACAAAGACATAACTATAGATAAGTTCAGGCCTGGCTGAAAATTGCATAAAATGACAAGACAGAGTGAAAACTGGCTAAGGAAATCAGAGATAGGTTGTACTGGATAAACACAGTGAGATGGAAGCAATCTAGACAAGAACAACTACCCACAAACCCGTTCCAGGGAATAAAGCAATCTGGGAAGCAGCAGCAAGGTATCTTGCAAATACATTGCAAAGTATGAGTCAAAGAGCTAAGGAAAAATTTTTTTCTAATCACCTCCAGAAACAGATGTTTAATTATCTCAGAAAACAGTCAAAGTTGGCACTGAAATAGTCGCAACAACAGTTATTTAGTAAACAGTATGTATTTTATTATAGTTTTATGATAGTTAATACTGTTATGTCTAAGTAGTCTTACATTTATTACTCATTACATATTTTGTTTAATTCCAAAGTACAGATTGCCAATATTTCAGGTAATGAAAATGGCATTCTGGTTTTGTATACTGGGCATGATTTCCTATGTGTAACAGACAGAAGAATATTATAGTATATGTATACATTTTTGCCCAGTGCAAGAAATACATGCAGCCATAGAACTATCCATTTGCACGAAACGCTACTAATCACAACCAAGTCAGACTACCTAAACTAAACTAATTTAGCTTTTACAGCTATACACATCAGTAGACTTGAAAGCCAAACTTGTTTGTTTTATTTTATCTTGGGGCACATAAAATCATGGTATTTGGCAGCATGGAATAAGGGACATTAAATCGGCTTTTATGCTGTTGTTAAGGAACCCGTAGAGGATGGGATTCAAGCAGCAGGACATCATACCTAGTAAATGGCATATACAATATACTAATTTAAAATGTCTGTTAGAAATGAGAGTGGCATTAAAATCTGTCACAATGTGGAAAAGGTGAAGAGGCATCCAACTGAAACCAAAAACTAGGATTAGCACTGTCAATCTGCAAAAAACTCTCCTAGATCTTGTCTTAATTCTGATGATGGATTGGGATACTGTAATCATGTCCTGGATCTCTGTATTTTCTTCTGGTTTCATCTCAAAACAGATAGGTATCCCAGGGATGAATTTACTGGAGGAAGAGAGCTGGCTTTTTTCTGTGCCAGAGGTTTCTGGGAGGCCTCTGGAATGAATACCCTGATGATGCCTTGAAATAGCTGGCACCACACTTGAAGTCTTTTTACTGTATCTTCTGTGGTGCTTTTTGCCAAAGGTGTAGCTCCATCTGGAACGGCCGGAGGGCTGCACCTGGGTGCTGGTACTCTTAGAGGGATGGTTTGTCTTAGAGGCTAGGTTGATCATCTCCTTCTCTTCAAACTTGTCTTCCTTGTGTGACAGTCTGGAACCTATGCTCCTGCAGACGCTGGTGTGGCTGGCAGTTAGACATGCCAGCGGCAATATGTACTGCATGAACAATAAGGCTATTGTAAAGGCGATTCTGTAGGAATCGGAAGGCCACGACTCAATACACAAGAGCCTGTTCTCCAGTGCCTCTAAATTCAGAGTTTTGCTGAGGTCCACAATTCTGTGGAAAACTGGCAGAGGGGAGCAAATGGCAAAGCCGAGGGCCCAAATGGTCACTATTAAGAAATAGCCTTGTTTTGCTGTTAAATTCCTAGAAAGGGGATATTTGATCATACGGTACCTGACTGCAGCAATAGATATTAACATCAAAGTTGAAACTAGAACTGATGTGCACTGGAGGAAAGGCATTACATGGCACATGACAGTGCCAAACATCCATTGGTCAAGCAGGACAGATGTCAATGTGAACGGAGAACAAAACAGCACAACTAAGATGTCAGAAAAGGCCAAGCTGCCGATAAGAATGTTTATTATCATCTTCTGCTTGCGCTTTAGTAGAGCCGTTAGTATAAGCAGATTTCCCATAAAGCCAGCCAGACTTATCAGTGTGTACAGCCCAATAAGAAAGTATTGTATGTCGTCAACACTACTTCTATAATCTTCCCAGGCAGAAAAATTCTTTGTAGCAGCCGAGGTGTTCTTGGTAGGTGTCCTGTTGTTAAGGTCTTTGAATCCTAAATCCATTTTGCAGTCCTGCTTCGAACGAGAAAGGAATTCATTAGCCCCTGAAGGACAGATGATACTGGTGTTAATCAGAATGCAAAGGAAAATAAATTTACCTTGTATCACCTTAATGTAAATAAATGCTGTTACTCTACCGTGAGGCAGATCCTGTATAACTTCAGGTCAACACGATTTCGTTTCGTGAGTTTTATCATGTGGCCCCCAGTACCCATAGGCCTCCTACCTGGCTGCTCACATGGGACAATGACAATTCAAGGTTCTGCATTATGAAGCTGGCTTTTAACTACGCTTTGCTACAGACCATATTGTCAGCCTTTCCATGAGGGAGCAGTTAGCTACAAAAGCAATCCATTTAAAGCTGGTGAGATTACTCATGTGAATAACAGCTCATTGATATGAGTAAGGAGATTACAATCACCATCTGGGCATGTGCCTGATCATTACATGACAGCAAAGTCTAATGAGAGCACCTGAAAATATATGGTGTTTTGACATACGTTAACAACTGCAGTAGTATTTCTTACCTTGCTAGTAGAAAACCAACACAAAATAAGTCAGAGCTTTCAAAAAGGATCAGTTTATATGGAGATCCACTGTCAGTGATCCAATATGGAATTCCTAACATGGTGCAGATACAAACCATCTTCTATTGTGTTGAATATATTTTAGCTGTAGCTCAAGCAGAAAGGAAAACTGCCTACGAAACATCCAGAGTAATTGGATGTAATACAGAGAGGACAATATTAACTGGAAGCAAACCCCACAGAGCCATTTGAAAATTCAGGAGCTGCTAATTATTCAGCACAAATCTAACATTAAAACCCAGCTCAGTACAAAGTTATTCTGCCTACAGAATCTTCATGTATTAGTCTTCATTTCAGAAGAAACAGAAAAACAAGAGAATTCAGTTTAAACTCCAGTTTACCTTAAACACATGCACATTCTAAAGTTTCAAAGTCAAAATTCCCCAGAGTGCCAATGTCCTGTAAAAAATTGCTTAATGTTTAGAAATCTTAGGCAAGACAGAACAAAAGGATCTAAACAAACCCAAAACATACATAAATTGAGCAGGAGTCTAAAAGGCAAGGCTCTTCCAGAATGTCCTCAGTAAGCTGTACCATGATGGCTTCTTCAAAGCGCAATAATATTATTTGGTTTCCTCTACACGTGCAGATGTGCTCCTTCCTCCACATCACAACATGTACGTTCCTACTGTCAGGTGCCAAAGGGAAGCTCAAACAGTAAAACACCCTCAGAATATTGACAGTGTGTTGGGATGGGAAGGTCCCTCATGCAAGATTAGGAATACTTATTTAAAAAAAATGTTAATAAGTTGTGAGTTTTTGTGTCTTGCAAGTAATGTGTTAGGAACAAGTGAAAAGAACTAAGCCTTGCCAGCTTCTTGCAATGTTGAGTTAAATAGTTTTTAATAGCTCAAACAGAAGTAAGAATTAGATATACTAATTTAGATAATCTAAATATTATAATTGCATTTGTACAAGCAGGGCGGCATTAATGCAAATTATTTCTGTTTAATTTTTCTCAGTCTCTAGCGAAATGGTGGAAAACCATATAACAGACAAACAACATTATCTGAAACTACCCTTGCCTCTAGACCAACTTTAAAGGACCAGACTTGAGATTCTGTGAGTAATCCAATCTCTCTATTTCTATATTGATATTATCAGAAGTTTTTATTTTGGTAGGCTTCTCTTGATACAACTATTAGCTTAGGAAGTAAATAGTTTTTTATTTAATTTTTCTGAGTTAATTTCTTTGAGTTGCTGGTAATCACCTGAAAACAGTATGATCAGCTGAAATTTCTTTCTGTTCTTTAAATGTGACTCAACGCAATTTTTGTCTGAGAAAACCACTCCAGGGCTCTGCCCTGGATAAAATACATTCCCCTACCTCAGACTTATGGAATGATGTCCCCGTTATGTCATACCTGTACCATTTTTTTCCTTTGTTCAGCATGGAGGGATGATGGGTTTTGTAATGACTGATGCTTCCACAGATTTCATTGTGTGCACGCACCTGTAATCTGCAGGCTCTCTTTTGATTCATGAAAGCCATTTCAGCTGTATATTGTGTTTCAATATGAAATGTTATCTGCCTAATATTTTCAGGGTGAACATTCTATTATCTTTGCACTACCACATTCATCTTAGCTGAGAAGTGTGTAGGAAAACCCCTTGCATAGAGCTGAGGAGTTCATAATGAAAAAGCCATTAGTGTAATTCTGGATAATTTTCCCTTGGACACCTTCCTTTACCAGTTTATATTTTGCAGAGGTTAAGATTGCATTACTAGCTGAGCATCTCACTGCCTGACAGCAGGTTTGAAACCAATCAGGAGTTGTTTGAGAAAGGGAAATGAAACTTTACTTGAGAGCTAGATCTGACAAATCTTTTTTACTAACCAACCAGTCATTGACTGACAATAGGAAGATTAATAAGAAAGAGGGAAGGAAATCCAGTACCATCTTGAGATTCCACAAACCTCAAAAGCTCTTATAATGCTCTCAAAGTGGTGATGACTCTCAAGGAATGAGCTTTTCATTTATTATGTGTGCCTACATAAGTATGTCTGTGCTAAGAGGGACCGTTCTGTGTAGTCTTCTATTTTAGCTGATACTGGGTTGAAGGACTAATCTGTAGAAGAGAAACAAACTGCAGAGTTGTTTCTTTTTAAAAAACCTGGAGATCAGGATTGCTTTTAGAGTATCTACAGGTACTCTACAGGTCAGTAATAGTTAAATTTCCACACAGTCATATCTGAAGGTCATATTGAGTAGTAACAATGCACACTTATGCTTAAGTTATAAATGTATAAAAGTTTTCTTGATCCATGTACCAGAACTGCAGGTTCCTTCCTAGACTTTTTTGGTGATATTGGCTATTGCTGAAAAGGTCAATCATAGGCCATAGGTTCATCAATGTGCGGAGAAAAAGCAGGCATCCCTTCTGGTAGAAAAGATTCTCTATCTAGTTAATTCATTCCATTTCAATTGTGTACTATGGTCCGAAGAGAAATCTGTATGTTTTCATTCAATTTTGCTTAGTTTTAATCAATGTATTCTATGAAGAGAATTGGAAGAAATCCAGTGGTGTTGCTTTTAGTTGCTACTGCCACTTTCAGCTTTGGGTGACTAAAAGTATGGCTTTAGCAGAATTGTCCATCATGTTTTTAATAGAATTCTTTAAAAACAAAAACTGAATATGCTGGGTTTGCTTTAGTAAACATATTTTGTTGAGACACATCAATATTGAAGAAGCTCAGCAGAAGTGCTCTGAAGTCCAGCATGGGCTCTCCAAGCTCCATCACCTGTGCTATGTCTGTCTTCTGCCTTGGGTGAGAGCTGACCGTGCTTCAGGGAAGATTCCTGAAAAACCCACTGTGGGAAATAGAATTAAATAGTATAGCCTTTTTTGAAAATCTTCTCTTCATACTTGAAGTGTATTTCTAAACTGAATGCACCATAGTTCCAGGGTACTCTTGTGCCTGTTTTCAAGATCAAATTTAATGAATATGAAGGTACCTGATGGAAATTTTCTAGCTGTCAGCTCCGGAAGTTGGGTCACTTTCATCTCCTACACCAATCAGTCAAGTAAATGTGGTCCCCTTTCTGTATTCCTGGTCTGCAGACACTCCTCGAGACCGTGCTCAGCTACACCTGCATGAGCTCACACCCTCTGAGCTTCAAGTGGGTTTGCTTCAGTCTCCTTTAGTTTCAATGGGACGCCTGAGACAGGAGGGTAGGCTGCACAAGGCAGGAGGGACTGCAGTTTTGTAGCAGAATCCAGGGTGGATTTGAATATTTACTATAAGGATCAAATTAATGCAGCTAACATTAAATACAAGGAGTATTTGAGGTTAACTTTTAGAGGAAAATGTATTTTATGACAGCTGATATACCATGATGTTGAAAGATTTCAAATAAGACCTTCTTAAATCGCATTCATCTGTGGTACTCCTCAGTGTGACTGTATGATGTGACTCTTATTTTCACCAGAACCATGCTTCAGATAAGTGTTCAGTTGCAGTTGCTCTAAGGCCTGAGAGTGACAGGGACAACTTAAACCATTATTCAGTTTTAGCTGAGTTAGAGGTACTGAAAATATGCTTTACTGAAAATAGTTTAATATGTTTAGAATCTTAAAATTAATCTCATTATCTCACATAAAGCTATTGTTTAAAACACAGAACCCATAAATTATAATTTAGGAGTGTGAATAGACTAGATATCTCTCTCTACATATTTAAAGGGAAATGTTCAAGAACACAAAAATTAGGCAGGCAACCATCCTCCTCTATGGTATCAGGACTGTAGAGAAAAGAGTTAGAGAAAGTCTTTAAACTTCTACACAGCTGCAAATAGTTAACATGACAGGCTGTAACTGCCTCACCACCTAACTTAAGGAAAGCACTAAACTGTGCTGTTACTACTTGAGAAATGATGCCCTCGTATCATTAAAGACCGAGATAACGTCTGAGAGAAAAATTGAAACCACTGAAGAGTAGCATTCACAGCACAAGCTAAAGATGAAATGCTGCCGCTTCAAATGTTCATTATGTGCAACAGCAAAGACTAGTCTGAGGACCTGGGAGAATTCAAAAGATTGAGATTACTTCAGAAGACCAGAAAAAAAATTATTTTCGTGCATGTTAATGGTATGCCTCTTTATCTGCCTAAATAAAAGAATTACAGCATTATCCTGGAAAACAAGAATACAACTTCCCAAAATATGCAAAAGACAACTAATGAGATTATTTCTCCAGCTCCGAGGAAGTGTTATGCAATGTAATGGGGCATTTGCTGGCCAGGAGAGAGAACTTGAAATGCACGGCTACGTTTGACGCCAGGAAGCACAGCAGCTCCTGGCTTGCAAAGGCAAAAAAGCACCCCAAACCAGACCAAAACGGGAACGGCCGTTACTTTTAGCCTTCTCAGCCTCGCTAAGGAGTCACTTTGAATGGTGCTCCTCGCTCCGCCCTGCCTCTGAAACCCCGCACCGACCGTCCCCGGGACCGCGGGGCTCCCTGCGGCCGCTGCGGCTGAGGCTGCGGGCGGGGACGGGACGGGACGGGACGCAGCAGCCAGACCCACCCCGCGGCTGGAGAGAAGCCCCACGATTTCCGCGCGTTTGCTGGCAGGGCGCTGCCCCGCGCAAACTTGCGCAGCCGCCCTGCCCGGGGCAGGGGGAGGGAGGGAGCTGAGCCCCGCCGCCACTCCGCGCCCCGCGGAGCGTTACCTGCGCGCGTCTCCGGGGCTTGGGCGGCGGCAGCGGTGGTGGTGGTAGGCGTAAAGGGCCGCGGTGCGCAGCGCGGGTGCGGAGCGAGGAAGGCACTCATAGCTCCGGGCCGGGCCGCAGAGGGGCGAGCGCGGCTTCGCGGGAGCCGGGGGCAGAGCGCATCCCCCGCGCCGTCGGGCGGCGCATCTTAGGCGAGCGCTGGTGCGGCGGTACCGGGGCTCGCCGGCGGCCGAGGGCCGGGCCCCGGGGCGGGAAGATGCCGCCGCCGCCGCCGCCGTTGCCGCGGGCGGGGTCGGGGCTGTAGGCGCCGCGCGGGCGCATTTCGGGAGGCGGCTCGGTGCGGTACCTGGCGGCTGCTATTTCAGCCCGGCACGGTGTGACAATTAGAGTTTCCATGGAAATGCAGGGAGGCTGTAAACAAACGCCGCGCTCGGCGGGATTTAAGGGATGCTCTCGGTTTCCCACCCGGGATCCAGGACGCCGGCGTTTTGCAGAGGTGAAGCCCCCGCTGAGCCGCGGGACGTGCGGAGGCGCCGGCGGAGCCAGGCGGTCCCGGGACACCGACCCGAGCGCTCTCTGGTCCCCCTCTAGTTCCCCTCTCTTCGGCTGGAGCGGAGCTTTGGTGTCATTTATCCACAGAGCTCGAACACCCTTTAATTTTTGCCGTTATTTCAGAACAGGTGGGAGGTGATGGATTTCCCCCAAACGGTTTTCCTTTTTGAGTTGAGTAACTCTGTTCTTACAGAGGCGAAAATCTGAAGGGTGGTTTTAATTTTATCTGGGCCATCAGTGGGCAGGCAGGGCATTTTTTTTTAAGTGAGCAATATTTTTAAGTGTAAAAATTGTTGGGTATATCATAGCACAAAGCATGAAAAGACAAATTCTGCTGTTCTCACCAGCTGCTGTCTTCCAGCACGAGAAGAGTCATTGATCATAGTCCAATTACAGGGCTACTGGAGAACTGAGTGACGTGTAGGTCTCTGGGAGCACAAGTGGCAGAATCTGACACGAAAATGTAATGACTTTTCCATTTGCCAAGGCACTCCTTTGACAGTTGATATTAACACAGCACTGCAGAAAAGCTGTCAGTATAATTAGCCTGTGAAAGACTGTGCCACACAAAGGCAAAACAGCTGGATCAACCATACTGTAAAATAACTTCGAAAGTTCCGTCAGGTTCCGTATTTAATTTTGGTAAGTGATCAAAGAACAATCAACCTTAACCTTCAGCGGATGAGCTCAGGATGGTGAGGAAAATTGCATCCCATCTTCTTTTGCCCGCTTCTGCATTATTCACCACCCACTGCTGGTGAATCACTGCATGTGCAAGTGGAGCACGGGGAGCTGCCAGGTGGAAGTGACGTGCCAATCCATCTCATCCTTTTCAGACAGCTCTCCCGTTAGTCACAAAACAGAACAAAATTAGTCCTTTTTTGGGCTGAGCAGCTGTTCTTAGCATTTTTGACCATCTTCCCACCTCACACTGATGGCTTTGGAGCTTTTCATGCAAATATGACCTGAAGATAGAAACCCACCATAGTTCTAACTTGCTAGGGGGCGAGGAAAGGGAGATCAAGACCATCTCTCAGGGCATCAATTTGCATGGATGTCCCTTGTTCAAGGAGAGCTTCCAGCACTGTTGGCCCCACTGCTTGAACAGGAAGTTCCATTCTGGAATGAGGGAAGTTGTAGAGACACTATATTTTTCTATGAAAACCTCTGGCTATGTTGCCTCTAAAAAAAAGAAAATCTAAATTTGCTGGCAGAGCTCACAAATGGGAAATTATGGTTTCTTGCATTGCACAGCTATGATTTATGTGGGTTATTATTGTACCTTCATAAAGATACAAACAGCCTACCTCCATGTTGACCGTTTCTGAGGTGAGTAGTTGCCTGCTACAGTTTCCTAAACAGCCTCCAGAAATTACATGCTTGTTAGCAAGAACAGTCAGTAAGACATGTGTTTCTTCCTCAAAGCAATTTTCTCTAAGAATAAATATCATACTTGTTTTGTTCGTTGCCTTATTTCAGGAGGGTTCATCAACCAGTAATGTACTGGCAGGTGTGGGTTTGTTTGGTTTTTTTTCCTCCCTGGACCTGTAAATAACATCAGATTTCTCTCTCAGTTCATTGCTGATACTTGTGCACATAAGAGGCAATTACTATTCAGACCATTATAATTTTTTCCTTTTCACTGTTTGTGTACTTCTGTCTTGCCAGCAATACTATTGAATAATAAAATAGGTGATCTAGAGACAGGAAAGGTACTGACATTAGAGTTATGTAATGTCAGGATCAACAAGAGATAACAGTACAACTTCCCTAAATATCAGCCTCCATAGGGTTGTTGAAACCATGTAGAAGTACTTGAGATTTAAGAGATGGTGATGATGAAAGACACCTGTTCTGGAAAAGCTGGGGAAGAAAATTGGTGCATTGTAGAGAGAAGGCTGGGATTCTCAAGTTAGAAGGGCTCAACAGAAAATACAGGAGAGAACTCTGATTATAAGAATGCAAATTAATTTTGGCATATTTCTTAACACATTCTCAAATGTATCTTTCTTTTGGGAGTATTGCCCCATTATCTTTGAAAATTTAGTCTCTAAAGGCTAACTGTGAAACACATGAAGGCCCAAAGCTCCAACTGAAGTTGGTGAGAAATGATGAATGCAACAGAAAAATCAAGGTCTAAGCCACCTAACGTTCAACTTTCAAAGCATTCCCTGGGTCAAAACTGTCCGTGAATCAAAGTCTGATGTATTGTAAATTCTGCTACCAATGAAGCACCTATCCAGCAAGACAGTCTAAAACAGTAGGACATAGCTACTACAGAGTTTGAGGCATTTTGTGAGATAAATATAGAGCATTTCTGTTGGTCAAAATTTTTCACACACATCAACCCAACTGTTCATCCCCCACAAAAATACTATTAAAATACTAGTACAAAATACTATTAAAAATACCACCAATGTCTGGCTTCTGTAGATGTACATTTAGCTCCTCCCTTCCAGAGATGCTTACCTCACATAAAGAAGCCGGGCATGAAGACAGCAAGCTTCGGAGTAATAAAATGTTTGCAACGGTTAAGATGTCTTTGCAGTGAAAAGCAGGGCATCTGACAGTTAGCAGATACAATACTACCAAGGGTGAGCATGTAATTGATCATTTTTGCTGCCTAATGTGTCATCACATTTGTTGGCTGATGTTACATTAACTATTAATGCCCCTGCTGGATGATCATGCTGGAGTTCAGGGCCTATTTCTGCTACATCTGAAGCCAGATGAAATCTTATGTATGAGTTTATGTTGAGTTTGGACCCTGAGTGGACAGAGTAGGGTGGCTCTAGCAGGAAACTTGACTTAGTATTTCAGCCAGGTGGACATAGTTTAGGTTACATCTGAAGCAGTCTTTAAGTAACATTGCGTATGACCAGGATAGCCTTACATTAGTTAGCTTGGATGTATTGTTGAAAGTGGAACTGCAGTAGCAAGACTCATCAGAGATTAACAACATGCAGCTTCTTTGGGTTTGTGAAATTAGCAAATGAAGGCTGTTATGGTTGGTGTCAGTTGCAGTCATTGCAGAATGAACATTCCCTTCGCCAAACAGAGAATTTGCTGCTATTCTCATTGTACTCAACAGCAAAATGACTATTTAGACTCGTGATGACAGACTTTTGCCCCAAGGAGCATCAGTTCCCTTATCTGTGAATAGCGTATCGTGAAATGCAAGTATTTCAGTGGTACTGATGTTCATTACTAGAAGATGAAAACAATAAAAATAAAGTTAAAAAAAACCTTCAGAGAGTGTTTCCATTCAATTGCATAGTGGTGACTTCAGTTTGTTTTATGTACAGTAGAAACCACAAATCACTCTTTGTGCTCTTTCACTCAGTGTGTTTTAAGTTTTACAGAGGGATTGCACTGCCTGAACATATGACAATATGTTGTAATGAAAGTGACAGCTTCATTTTACGAGATCTTTTATTTTCCATTTTTGAGAGTTACAGTGAGAGAGAATTTTAATGAGTTGATCTCTTGGCGTATTTTTTTCCATGTGTTTCTTAAAAGCATCTTGTTGCCTTCTCAATGCCTTTGCTTCAAAGAAATTCTGTATTCTTTTACTCAAGCTGTTCTATTTCCTTAGTTGAGGTACTTGTGTTCTGTTTATTGTACTTATTCTTTTTTTGCAATGTCTTGCCTTCACACAAATAAGCATATGCACACAAACAAACACAGTCTTCCGGTCCAGGGTGCCTTTGATGCACTGAAAAAATTTACTCCCTGGGAGAGGATAACCTTTAGCACAATGGCTATCTCACTGCTCCAATGTTCTCATGTCCTGACAGTTGTCATAAATAGAATAAAAGTTACTGAGGAAGCATTTGACATCTTTGTGAGTGCTCCAGCTTGAGCCATTCAGCTTGGTGTTGAGACTGGAGATGCACAGAACAGCTAAGAACTGCTAAAGCCTGAGTTTCCTGTAGAAGATACCTGATGCCGTGTCAAATTTACTGCACAACATAGATAGCCATAATGGAAAAAGTTTGAAAAGAGCCTGTCTCTGTTTATTAGAGGGATTATTTATTAGTGTGTTTTGGTGTTCACATGTATGTGAAGTGTTTCAGAGAAGACTGATGTAACTCCAACAGATTCAGGCATCTGAGGTGTGCATACAACAAGAGCAGGAAGCTTGTAGTAAGACTTGGGTTATAGCGTGTGTGTGTATATATATGTATACACACAGAGATACTTATAGCATATGTTTGAAAGACTCAGTGACTCAGGCATCCTTTTCCATTGCTCCACTGTACTATTTAAAGCCTGACCTTGCACCCATCTGCAGTCTGAATAACTCTTATGAATATTTGCTGCCGTCACTGTGAGTTAAGGTCTATCTCCAGTCTTTTATAGGTTATTATTATATTTCCATAGTATAAAAGAAGCATTGTGAGGCTTGCTTCACCTGTGTTTATACGACGCTTGAGATTCTTGTATATACTAACCATTAAAACGTGAAGTTGTGTGCATCACTGTTTACAGCTGAAATGGAGATCCTCCTGGCTAATGACAAAATGGAGGAAAAGAAGAATACAGCTGTCTGAAACTTTGGAAATTTCTGTGGCAGAAACAATGGCATTTCTCTATTTGGATTTTGCTAGGACACCAAATTAATGCCTCTGGGGTTGGTTAACCCATTAAAAATAGAGTAGGGTGGTGAGAAACGAAGACAAAACTAACACCTTCCCTTCCCCTCCACCCCCCTTCTCCACTCCCCTTCCCAGGCTCAACCTCACTCCTTTCACCTGACTCTTTTGTACTCCCACCTTCCTGGGCAGCACAGGGCAATGGGGAATGGGCGTTGTGGTCAATTCATAACATGTTGTCTCTGTTGCTTCTTCCTCCTCGTGCTGCTCCCCTACTCCAGCACGGGGTCCCTCCCACAGAATACAGTCCTTCACAAACTGCTCCAACATGGGTGTGCTGCTCCCCTGGTCCAGCACGGGGTCCCTCCCACAGGATACAGTCCTTCACAAACTGCTCCAACCTGGGTCCTTTCCACAGGGTGCAGTTCTTCAAGAGCTGCTCCAGCATGGATCTTTTCCATGGGGTACAGTCCTTGAGGAACAGACTGCTCCAGCGTGGGTCCCCCACAGGTTGCAGTTTCTGCCAGAAATCCCGCTTCTGTGTGGGCTCCTCTCCATGGACCACAGTTGCAGTTTCTGCCAGAAATCCCACTTCTGTGTGGGCTCCTCTCCATGGACCACAGCATGGATATTTGCTCCACTAAGGTTCTCCATGGCTGCAGAGGAACGACTTGTGCCACCATGGTTCTCACCACAGGATGCAGGGGGAATTTGTGCTCTGGTGCCTGGAGCACCTCCTCTCCCTCCTTCTTCAAAAAATCTGTGCTCTGGTGCCTGGAGCACGTTCTCCCCCTCCTTCTTCACTGACCTTGGTGTCTGAAGAGCTGTTTCTCTCACATTTTGCTCACTTCCCTCTCTCACAACTGGCATGCAGCATTTTTCACCCTTTCTTAAATATGCTATCACAGAGGCACCACTCTCTCTCACAACTGGCATGCAGTGTTTTTCACCATTTCTTAAATATGCTATCACAGAGGCACCACCAGCATCACTGATGGGTTTGGCTTTGGGCAGTGGTGAGTCCATTTTAGAGCTGGCTGAAAATGCCTCTCTCCAACATGGTGGCAGCTCCTGGTGTCTTCCAACAGAAGACACCCCTGCAGCCCCCCTGCTACTCACACCTTGTAATGTAAACCCAAGCCTCTTGCTCTGAACTGGTCCTAAACGTGGATCTCTACTTTGGATACCTATTGGCAGAGTACTACAATTCCCTATCACAGAATGCCTATTTTAAATTTTAAAATAGCCATCTTGCCCATACGGGTAAGAGCATTACAGGGACGTAGTGAGATCATCCTGGCATAGAAAAAGACTTTTTCCCTGCTTAGCAATACATCTATTGCCCTTAAAAATCTCAATATTGGACAATAATTCTGTTTCTGTGATGCGAATCGATCATTCCACATCCATAGCAATGAGTCCTCGGTTCTACATGTCCTAGAGTGTCACTGCTTCAGGCAGAAATATGCTCTTTACGGGACCTTCAGCACAGATCTCTGCCTGAGTCTATCCACCTTTGCTCTGCTCAGATGGAGTCTGGTGCATGTTAATGACCCACATATGACTGGAGCTCTTGGGAGGCAATATATACAGCCTGCACTTATCTTCTGGCTGCTGCTGTTAAAATGTCAGCAGGGCCCTGGCTACTGGTTTATAGCAACCTTGAGGTATGCCTGCACTTTCCTTTCTCATATCCAGGACTGCGGTCGCAATGCAGTTGTGCCGAGCTCCTGGAAATACAGCGTAAACATCAGCCTCATTGCTGGGCTCTGAGACCTTCCTGGGAGGCTCATTCTGCAAAAAATGTTACAGTAATTTATTATTTGCAACTGATTTTTTAGCTCTAACATGGTTTCTCACTTGAGAGTTATCCACAACGTAACAGTGTCACCATATGATAGGACTATGCCTGAAGGTAAGAATGAAAGAGCGTGTAACTCCTTACACTTGCAAAATTAATCTGGAGCCTTGTAAGAGTTAGGGCACTTCTGTTTTCCAAGAAAACCAAGCTCCTAACACAGCCTGCAGGGTTTGTCAGGCCATTTTCAAAGTGTTGCTTAAGTTTATCTGGGTAACTTCTCTTGGACTTCCAAACTCGCTGGTTTTTATGCCTATTGAAGTAAATCTTCTGTAGCAGTGCTTTTTGTGAGTGAGGCAGCAAGGTATTTCAGGATCATGAGAAGAGCGAATGGAAAATATTTTTTTTCCATTTTGCTTTTTATGAATTTATTCAGTAAACAGTAAGCCATCCTCCTCCAACTGGTAGTAGTTTGCAGGGCTACTCATTCCAGCTTCCTTAAAAAAAGTAAAATATTTGGTTGTTGGAAGTTGGAGTTTTCAAAAGAAGCAGAAGAGCTGGCCAAGGCAACAGCTACCACCTTTCCAGCTCTGCATCTCACTATGGGGATTTGTTCTTTATTTTCAGGAGTCTGTTTTCCTTCCAGCTCACTGGAATATCCCAGTGCTTTGTATGAATCCGCAGAAATGCCTTATTTTCTCATGGATCACACATACATACATCACAACGATGGTGAACCACTTGGCTGGGATGAATCAGAAAAATACCCACAAGGACCACAGTGACAGCTGAGGCTTGATAATTTATTGACTTACTTTACTTTTAAAATAATTTCTTATTGCGTCTAGCTGGAAAAAAATAGCAAGAACAGCAACTTGACAATTCTTATTAATGCAGTCATTGCTTTTCGTGATAAATACAGACCAGAAGCTAGTTGTACTGGTTTAAGAAGCCAAACCCCAACTTTGTAACTTGCTTCTTATACTTAAAATTGCCTTCTCGACCTCTTTCCGACAAAGCTTTTATTTCCATTTTAAGTTTGGCCACAAGATGGCAGTAACTCGCAGACAAAATGCTGGAAGAGCCAGACAGTGATTTGAAGCTGTCTCCCTGCCTGAGCTTTTCCCTGAGCTCTCCCCCCTCCTTTTTTGTTTCAGTATTTAATTGCATTTATTTCGGAATTACTAGGCAACCCACCCCCAGATGTGTAATTTAAAGGTGATGTGCTTGCAGTGAGATTTTCAGGATCTGCTCAGCAGAGGACCATCATGTGATACTGAGATAAGGTGGAGTTCGGCTTTAAGGGGGAGTCTCCAGTCTTCCTCACCAATCTTTAGGATCTCAGCTGGAGGAATACCAGAGGATCCTTCCCCTTTCCCTACTCCTTCTCCCTCCAGCCTCCCGAGCCAGCCCCTGAGCAGATCCAAGACGGGCAGAGCAGTTGCAAGGTGAGTTTCCCCTGTGGTTGCTTTCCCGTGACTGTGGGTGGCTGGTGCGGGTTAGCCTGGTGTTCTCTTGCTCTCTTGGGTGCAGATGACAAAATCACAGGGAAGGGTAGGCTCCAGGTTGGACTTGCGAGCGGCTGGGTGAGCCATTGGCTTGGACAGTGTTTTGTGTCTCCTTTTGAGGAGCTCCAGTACTTAGACAGTGCATTTCCAGTCACCTCACAGCACGCTGTTTCACCCTTTCTGTCCGTTGGTGCTAAACTTTTGACCAAAATCCTCCCGGAGAGTCAGAAGGGTATGTGCGGAGGGGGAGACTGTGCAATCACCTGGAGGGGTCTGCAGAGCTCTGGGCTCTCCCCACCCCATGCCAGCACCCAGGCTGGGGAAGGATCCCTCTCCTGCTTTGGGAGCTAGTGGGGTAGGGGACAGGGAACGGTGCAGCTGTTCAGGTGACACAACTTCATCCCCTCCTGACGTCTGGTCCCTTTTGGAGAGGTGGGCAGGGAGGAAGAACTCCTTGTCACTTGCCAGCAGAGATGTGTTTCTGAGCTTGTTCTCAGCCGTGCTCTTAGGTTGCGTTTCTGCTATGGGGAGAGGTGAGGGACCAAGAAGCAGTGGCATTTTCCAATTTTCAGTTTGATATTTAATAAATATGCAAGAGCATGGCTTGGCTAAAGGAAAAGAAAAACCAAGAGCCCGAAACCTAGGCCACCTCATTGCTGGTCACAATTTGGTCCCAGGTGGTGAGAAAACCTGCCCAGTTGTCTTTTTGCAGAACATGGCCCCTCGCCCACTCTGCTCCTGCCGTCGTCCCATCAAGTCCCATGTCTGCACTGCCCACCTGGTGCTGTATGAGTGACAGCGGAGAGCGTGACTAAATCCGGACGCTGATTTTTAGGCTGGGGTAAATTCATACTGTTGGAACTGAGGAGTCCCGACTCTCCACATCACCCGCACACTTGCCCTGTGGGAAAAGCACCTACTTCTGGCTCTGCCTGAAGTGGTGCTTCAAGAGGCCCTGGGGGGTGGGAGATTCTTTATTGTACCCTAAAACAGACTTTGTGGACTAGAGAGACCCGATAGGTTTAATTAGCAGAGACAGCAGGTCTGAGAGGTACTGCTGAAGGTGTGTGCCTCACTAAATACATGGTGTTGGCATGGTCAGCCCAAGGATGACCCTCAGGAGGAGCCGGAGCTGCAAGTCCAGCCCTCGCACACCGGCTCTGCCCCGGTGAGGAGGCAGCCCCAGCTCTGGTCCTTAGCACACGGCTGGTTAAAAGGGTGTCTGCCACCAGTAACAGAGATGATTCTGCTCTGGTGACTTAGATGGAACTGGAGATTTACATCAAGCATCATTTAAGAGCACAAACCCACCCGTTCAGGGTAACTTTTAATGAAGTACATTTTAGTGGGCAATATTTTTACAGCTTTTGTGATACTCGCCATATGGTGCCGGGTTTGAAACCCACTTGTGTGAATTTTAAGTGGCATTGCTTTCATTACCATAACCTCGGGTTAAGCAAGCAATAAATTTAGCTCATGGGAGAGTGGGCAGAGGGAAAGTTCCAGATTTGGGACAGCTGCCACTAACAATGAGTTGGAGTGAAGGTGTGCCAGGTTATTTGATTTCATTCTTTTTTTCTTTTTTTTTTTTTTTTTTTTCCTCCTGAACACATATGCTCAAGTTTCTCTGATTTTAAAATCCAAGCCCTGGCAAAGGGGTGGTTATTTAGAGGTTTTTTTATTTTTTTTTTTTTTTTTTTTTTTTTTTTTTTTTTTTCCTCCTGAACACATATGCTCAAGTTTCTCTGATTTTAAAATCCAAGCCCTGGCAAAGGGGTGGTTATTTAGGCATGCTTATTTGTGTCACATGGGTAAAGAAATATTCTGCAGTGCTTTAATTTTTGCTATCTTTTGTCTTTCATCTTGCTTTGTTCTTTCTTTACTGCACAGCCCTGCTAGATGAGGTTAAGGTGTTCAGAGCTCCTGGTTTGCCTTTGCCTCAGTGCCAGTGCTGCTGTGGGCACTTGGCCGCTCAACATCAAGTGCATGCATTAGGTAAAAAAGAATGCAGCGATTTTTGGAGTAATTTTTCCGCCCCTCACATTAGGCAGATGGGATTCCCCCCCCCTCCCGCTTATGCGGTGGCTGGATATAATTCTGCTTAGAGCAGCTTGAGAAAGCAGAGCTTTGCAGATTGAACTTGTAACGAGGAGATGTGAAACACCCAGTAAAGGCTACTCCGGCGGAAGGCCGAAATCGCTTCTCCGCTCGTTAATTGGTGGAACTTGTGCCACTGGGAAAGGGTCGGGAAGGGGTCGTGTCCCTCGCTTGCAGAGCTGCATTTTGATCTTGCCTTCTGCCTTTCTTCCTCGGGACTGTCGCCCCCCACCCTCCCCATTTCCCCCCCC